GATTGCAAGCATTTAAAACCTGTTCCAAACACTGTAAGGCACTTTTACAGGAGCGAGAAAGGACTTCGCAAAGCCATTGAAATGTATTGAGTCGTCTTCAATACATTCCAATGGAGGAAACATTGTTTCACTCAACGATGTTTCCTATGGGTTTTTTCACTTAAAGACGGCAATCTGTTCCAATTGGAACGGATTAACCGGTTTTCAATTCATTCCTATGGGAAATGGTGTTTCACAGAACGATGTTTCACACAACATTGATTTTTTTTTTGAACCAATTAACATCGTTGTGTGAGGCACCACTGTATATATCAAGGCAGTCAAAGTTCAGACTGTTTTGGAGGGGGAAATGTTGGGCAGCCCCAAGTTTGAACTTAGGCCTTATTTTCGCCATTCCTGAGATTTCTTTATCCCTTCAAAGAATCTGCAGCTTGCCAGTGCAAACTCCTTGTAGTGCTGTTTTCATTTACTCGGATGCTGTGGAGTTTTTAAGGGTCCTGCAAAAGACCCAAACTTTCCACAGGAGGGACCTCTTCCCTGCTAAGCGATTTAACCTAGAATTAGTGAGGTGTAGCAGTGAGAGGATCAGACAGAGGCTTTGGGAGATCAAGTCCACGTGAAAGCCATGAAATTCACTGGATGAGCTTACTCTATCCCAACTTGATTTGCCCTAAATAAAGTCACACAACTGACGGTCCTTCATTGCTTATAGAATGAGAGAGAGAGAGAGAGGCTGGAGCACCCAGTAATTAATAAGCCTCTGAACATTCCCCAGCGGTGCAGTTTTGAAAACGGTCTCTGTATGTCTTGTGTTTCCTTGGCAGTCCTCCCTCCACTGCCAAATCGATTACCATCCCAGGGCAGGATTCGACCCTCCAGCTGACCTGTAAAGGCAAGGGGACTACCAGCACCACCACTGCCGCCGCCACCAGCACGTCGACCGCTCTCGGCTCGGTCCGTCAGAACAAGCCCAGGCCCACCATCCTCGGCTCAGGTGGGGGCAGTCGTCCGTCTTTGGAGGGGGTGGTCCTCAGGGCCTCGTCCTTGTGCTTCGGCACTGTGGTTCTTTCCCACGGAGTGCCTCTCCTCACCCTTTTGGAAACAGCAGCAGCTACCTCCGTTGGAATCGCACTCCGGGCCCATCGAGCCTCTTTCCAGGTTTTCTTAGCCCTTCCTGGTGACACCTAGAGTTGAACCCGGCACCTTCTAAATAAGCTGTAGTTGGTCTACCATTGGGCTTTCCTGAAAAGAGTAAGCCAGCTGGGAGCCAGGCACAGACTTTCCTAGAAGCCTAACAGAGAGGCCATCCCCAGTTCCCAGCAGCAGCACGAGGCCCCGTTCACATAGGTCAGGCAGTCGAGCCCATCACTCACTGCCTGACCCTCTTAAGGGGAGCTGGGGGTCCCTCTCTCTGCTAAGGAGGCTGCTTCCCTCCCTCTTCGTTCCTGAAGACGTTTCTCTCCCCCCCCCTTTCTCAGCAAAGCCTTCTCCGAGCTGGGTCACCTTTGGCTTGCTCTTTCGCCCCTCTTTGAGTTGTCCTGGACGACCCTTCTCCCTGGCTGCCCCCAAAGTCCAGCAAATGTAACTTCCACGTACTCCGCTGGACGACCCTTCTCCCTGGCTGCCCCCACAGTCCAGCAAATGTAACTCCATTGTATACATCAAGAATTACGAATTTCCATTCAGAGACGACTTCTGTCCTCAGTTCCTCTGTTCTTCTCCTGTTCTGTTTGGATTCTCTTGTCTTTCTTTGCACCACCTGCTGTTCATGGTATGCAGTGTGCATACCTCGGGTAGCCTTTCTTCAGTCATGTCTCGTGAAGGAGAGGCTTGGAAAGGCTGTGAGCATAATATTGACGTTTGATGATGCGATGCCTAAAGGAAGCCGAAACTCCAGGGAGCCTCCCGACAGGAAAAAAAAAAAGACACCTCATAGTGGAGGTCTGCCAGGGCATTCTTGTTCTCTCTCTCTCTCTCTCTCTCTCTGTCTCTTTTTTCCCCTATGACTTTGTTTCCTTTTCTTCTCAGGGGTACCAGAGGAACCAGACCAAAACCTGTCCAGTCCCGAGGAAGTTTTCCATTCTGGACATTCACGGAATTCGAGCTACGCCAGCCAGCAGTCCAAAATCTCTGGTAACTGCTCGCCACATAAGTTTGCCAAGGAAACCCAAAGTACGCCATGCAATGGTGCATCCGTGGGCTTCTTTTTGGACCTGTCTGTTCTTTTTCATGCTCCCTAGAATTTGGCAGTGGCTCAGTTAGGTTTGTGAAGGGCAAGGGAGGTTACTCAAGAGCAAGGGAAGCTTTCTGCAGAAGAGGCAGAACTCTATGGGTGTTTCTGACTCTCATGAGCCTCTGGGTTTCTGACTTTCTTTTTGACAATGAAGCAGGGACCGAACTAGACAACATATAAAAATGCATAGATTCCATGTCTTAAATCTAATTGCTAATCCCTAGAGTGGAGCCTATTAAACCAGTTGCTGAGTAAGGGGGTCAACACATAAATGAATCCTATGGATTTAACAGGTCTTTTCTAGTTAGAAGCAGCCACTGGATTTAATCCCAGGGATCTGGGTTTGTTTTGTTCTTTCCTTTAATTTAAATAGCACCAGTGGTTTCCATTAGGACCAAAGGTTCACCCAGATACTGTTTGGTCCAGGGGTAAAAACGGCTACGGATGCCAAGCTGAGATGCTTAGCTTTCACCTTCCACTTCGGTTCTTCTTTTCCCTACTTCCTTAAAAGCAAAAATGATTTCATTTAGCCTAGGTAGTTTCAGGGGTGGGGGGGACTTGTGTTTTTAGATGACACTGCTGGTCCACCCTATCCAGCAGAGCCACCAATGGAGATAACATGGATTGTAGTCCAACAACGTCTTGGGGGGGGGGGCAACACCCTTTCCCATTCCTGATCTGCTTGCAGGCGGAGGGGACAATGTGCAGATACTCCCTGCCTGTTGGTTGTGGGTTTTTGTGCGCGTGGAAACGGACCAGTTTCTCTGACCTTGCGCTCCTCCTGTTCACAGGCTACAGCACCGAGCACTCGCAGTCCTCCAGCATGTCTGACCTGACCCACCGCCGCAACACCTCCACCAGCAGCAGTGCCTCGGGGGGTCTCAGCATGACCGTGGAGTGCCCAGAGGGGGAGCGCGAACACAAGCCCGAGAAGCCGCCACGCCCACCGAGACCGGCCCTTCTGTCGGAAAGGTCGTCCAGGTGAGAACCGGTTGGTTTTCCCGAAGCCTCCCCGCTAAAGAAAGAGAGAGAGATGGGCTGGAAAGAGAAAGGAGAGCAGGGGGCAGAGGGTTCCCTGTCCTTCTTGGGAAGGGCATCGATGGCAAGGTTTCAAGAATGGGAGGGAACTTCCGGTCATTTTTAGGGTTAAAGGCAAATTTCTGTCTTCATTTTGAACTGGAAGTACAGGTGGCTATGAGTCAGGGGGGAAAGCATGGATTAAAAACATTAGGTTGTACATATTAAACATAATTGAACTGGTTATAATATTAAGACATAATTGCGTTAACTGCGTCCTTTTCAGTCTGTGCTTGTATAGTGTAAGTCAGTCATGTTGAAAACCATTAAAATAGTAATGACGATTTAAAATTAAGACACATCTGTCAGGAGCCCTTGGCCTGCATCTGCTTGTTCTTCCCAAAAGCAAACTTGTGGGAATTTGGTAAAAGAACACTGACGCAACTCCCATTGTTTGGTGATTCTACTCCAGCAAGGGCTGGATGGAAGGCAGGGAGGCAGGCTTTTGTCTGCCACCAGAAAGCCAACAGGCAGGGGGCCCAACCGAAACGTGCCTTTGAGAGAAGGGTGCTGCCAGCCGAGGCTCCTGGTGGGAGGAAGAGGTTGCCTTCTGGAAGCAGAGAGCATGCAGAAGTTGGGGGGAGACCCTGTCTCAGAACAGGAGAAATTGGTTGTCCTCCCATCTGGTAGCCCCTCAGAGTTTTAGGCCACCACTCCTGAAGATTTTGAGCCACTGGCCTGGCTCGCAGGGGCTGTGAAGATTGAAACCCCAAGTATCAAGACACGCCAGCCTGGGGAACCCTTCTCTCCTTACACCTACAGAGCTAGCTGCCTCAGGTTGCTTAGGGCCCGGCCGTTTGGACTCTTTGAGTGAGTACAGCTTTCAGAGACCTCTCCCAGCCCCCCACCCTGCTCCCTGGAGATTCTTTAACTGGAGATGCCTGGGAGGAAGGGGACAGTCTTGGGGCCGGGGGAAGTTTTGGAACCATTTGTATTCTATACAGAGTGGGCTGCCGTGGAGCAACAGCCTTGCTGCTGCGTTTTGGGACTAGCTTTGAAACAGAGAAGCCATTCGATGAATTTTTAAAAGCTACATCATGCACAACCCTCGAGCAAAATCATAAATAAGTGAGAAACCATAACTGAGGGTATGGAGTTGCAGGGAATAAAATATATATGTGAGTGAAAAGCCTGCTCTACGAGGCATTAACTTTTTCAAGAGGAGGGACAGGTTTTTGTATTAAAATAAATAAATAAAACTTGTGCACTTTAAAGCAACACGCAGCCAGAAACGGGCAGAGAGTGATCTGAGGTCACCTTTCCTTTGATCAAGAGTGATGAGTTGCTTAAATAACTTCAGCATGTAAGCGAGTTGTGCCTAAAGAAGAAAACAGTCCCACGTGGTCCCGAACCATTAAAAGCTTCCTCAAAATAATTTCTGTTGCAAAGGGACACGGAAAAGACAGAAATCCAAAACAGGAGGTCAGGCCTGGGATATGGATGTATGTCCCATCGGTGCTTTCCACGGAGTGGAAATGGGGTGTTTATCACCCAAGCGAGTCTTAATGTGCTTCCTCCGTTCTGTTCTTTCCTTCAGAAGGAAGAAGGACTCTGTGGAAAGCCACCCCACGTGGGTGGATGACACCCGGATCGATGCAGACGATATCGTGGAGAAAATTATGCAGAGTCAGGACTTCACAGATGTCAGTAACAATGAAGGTAAGGCTCTTTGGTGGTGCTTCTCGAATGGAGTTCCTCTCTGGCCTCCCCCTGGTCGTTGGGTTCTATAAACCCTGGCTCGGCTGATGAATGCTTTGCAAACATTCTCTCTTACACCTCTTCAGAGGGCTTTTTAGCTTCCACCTGCTTTCAGGGAAACACAGACAGAAAGGATAATTACAAACAGGCCTTAATATCTGGTTGGGGGTGAAGGTGACCGCCCCATAGTCATTCCTGCGTGGATAAAGGCAGTGTAACTGACGCTGCACGTCAGAGGCTGCAGTGCATTTCCCAGTCGCTTTCCAGTCCCTAAGTAATGAGCATGGTTCTTTCTGGCAGAGGCACCAGAATCAAGCTCACTACAGATCATCATCATCTTAGAATTGCAGAGCTGGAAGGGACCCCCCCCCCGGGATCCTGTCAGAAAGGCCCATTGGGGGAATCAAACTGCCAACCTCTGGCTTTGCAGCCCGAGACCTAAGCCCCTGAACTCTCCAGCCATTCTGCCCCTGTTCTGGCTGGTCAAGAAGGGTGACAGGATCAACCTACCTGCATTAAACCAGTGCTCTCACAACCTTTGGATTAGTTGCATAGAAGGGAGTGGTTCTCTCAGTCTTCTCTGCCACCAAGCGCTCCCAAAAATACCCCACTCTCTTGCCGGGGGGTGGGGGAAACTGTGTTGTGGCTTCTCGTCCTCGGGCATGAGGACCAGACCATCAGGGAGTCGCCTCCTTCCTCGGGAAGGCCGCGTGTCCCACCTCTCCTGGCTTTTTCCCGCACAGCTGTTCTCCTGAGCCTGCCACTTCTACACGCTGTCTGTCAACCCTCCTGTCAACCCCTGCCTGGCATCTGGTGCTTGCGCGCAACTAACCGAGCCCGACCGACAGCACCCCTTCCCCTCCCTTGTTCGTTGCGCCGTGTCTCCTGCCATGTTCGCTCAGAACGCCAGGCCTTCCCGGAGCCGCACGTTCTCAGGCATGCGGCTGCAGGACTCTCCCTGAGACCGGAGGGGCTGGAATGTTGTGGCTGAGTCAAACAGAAGCAGAGGGCGTTATTTCTTGGCACTCGACCTCAGGTGGTTCAGCCTCTCGGAGGAATCCCAGGGCTTGGTATGCGGTTCTGTGTTCTCAAGCTTCCTCTCACTTTGTCTTCTTTTGCCCTTCTACAGATAGTAACCTGAGGCTGTTTGTGAGCAGAGATGGCAGAACCACCCTTAGCGGGATACAGCTCGCAAACAGGTAAGGACCCCGGCCCAGATCCTTTCGAAAAGGCTCCAGGTCAGGCCTTGCTTGTAGGGAAGACATCTTTTGTGCATGTCACTAAGCTGTAGCGGTGGAAGTCTTTGGCCGAGGACAGTGGAATCATCCCCTGAGAGCCGTTGGAGAAGGTGAACCTGTTTGGACAGGGCTTGGGAAAGTTACTTTTTCTACACTACAACTCCCAGAATCCTTGAGCCATAGACCATAAGCAAGATATCAGTCATAGAGAAAGGGGGGATTATCATACACCAGCTGGGATGCTGCTAAACCATGGCAGCACAGTTTTCCAGAGGCATCAAGAGGAAAGATGAGCATGCCCAGAGGGCAGAGGGCAGGGAGGTCCGCCCTGCCCGGTGCCTGAGATTCTTCAGCCTGGCTTCTGGTATTTTGGGCTATGTCTGCCTGGCCCGAAGGGTGGAAAATCAGGGAAGCCTGAGATTTCTCTCTGTGGCGGTTTGTCTCGTTGTAGCCCATGGTGAGGTTTGTTGTATTAAAGCCCTGTCTGTCTCTTCTCTTCTCTCCACCAACCCACCCAAAAAAGCTTTCTGACGTTTGATTTCAGGCCAGGTTAGTTGCCTTCCGTATCTCCATCAGAACGGTTCTTAATTTTTTGAGATTAACTTGAGGCGCTGAAGAGTGCACTTGCCTTCTTTGGGCCTCCCAATAACACTTCTTTCCTTTCCCTCCCCTTCTTACACAGAGTCTCATCTGGAGTTTACGAGCCAGTGGTAATCGAGACCCATTAAAATGTGAACCGGACGAGGGGAGACCCGCTGGAGATGGTCTCCCGCTCACAATGGATGCCTCCACCACTCCCCCGAACCGACACCTTTCAGTTCCCTTCCCCCTCTCTTTTTTTTTAGCCCTCTTCTTCCTACAACATTCCAGGCGGGACTTTCCAAAACCCCTCTTTCCCCAGCACTCAGGCGCTCCCGAACGGCTCTTGAGGACAGGGCGCTCCTGGGGAGCCTCGCAGAAGTCCATAGAGAAGCGTCTCGCGCTTTGAGCCATGCCGATCTGAAAGGTGGGGGCGAGAAAACCGCCTCGTCGGAAGGATGGAGGGAGACATGAAAGAGAGTTCTCCATTCTCCGGGCAAATTCTCATTCCACTGACCATTTGCATCCTCTCAACCACTGGGTGATACCACTTGATGCCACTCTTGATGATGCCACTCTGTTTCACACTCTCCCGCCTCAAATCCCGTCTCCTTCGGCAGGGGGAGAAAGACCCAGGGCTGACCTAATGCACAGGCCACGTAAAAGCAGCCGCCGCCGCCGCCGCCCTCCTCGGCCACAACAGAAACCCCTTTGACCGAAAGGATTCTCTCGCCTTCTAGGCTCTGAGAAGATCTCACCATGAGGACTTTGAACGACGACATCAAGCACCCTGAATCTAACCATGGAAAGTAGAAGCCCCTGAAGATCCTCCTTGAATAGGGTTTGGGGTCCCCCCCTTCCTTTTTCATTCCAAAAGTGCATTTCAGGAATCAGTAAGAGGCGATCAGTAACTGCCAGTGTCGTGAACGGCAGTTTTGCATAAATTCCTCCACCACCACCCACGCCCGCTTTCAGGGAAGGGCATGAAAAGGGGCAACGCCCCACGTTTTTCCCCAAGAGGGGAGCACTTTTACAGATTTCGGCCGTGGGCAAGAAGAGGATCTCGAAAGGCTGTTTTCAAGCGTGGAGTCTTCTCTGTCCGTTTGGGTTTGAATTTCTGTGCCACCAAGAGCCGCTGCTCAGGATCTTTGGCTGGGGAGGGGTTTTAAGATGCAAAAAAAAATCACCCAGCCCCTCTGGTGATCCTGCCCTACTTATTTGGAGGCCTGTCCAAGAATCATTCTAAAATGCACCCATGATTGCTTTCCCAAATCAGAAGGTGATGATGCTGTGGCTAGGAAGTTCTTTCCATGCTTGCTGGGAATGTTTTGATATATATAGAGAGAGAGAAAGAGAGAGAGAGAGATTTCCTCCCCTAGTCCCCACAAAAAAAATCTGGGCCCCCTTGGTGATTTTTCTCCTTGCATTTCTCTTGCCTCTACTCCATCCCTCCAATCGGGTTGAACCTGCATTTGGAACAGGGATCTTATTGCTGCTATTTTTTTTCCAGTTCAATTTGTGGGGAAGCTTTCTTTAAACCAGGGATAGGAAGTTAAGACGCTCCTGTTGTGGTGGTGGTGGTCGTGGTTTGACTTACAACACCCATCGCCCCTGCTAATGTAACCCGTGAAAAGGGATTCTGGGTGCTGCGGAGCAAAAAAAAAAATACCGGGTGGGGGTGTCTCTTCCCCAGTCTAAAACATGCACAGATTTGTCCACGTGCTTGCTTGTGTCGTGCAATGTAGCTTCCCTTAGCCTGCGGCCCACTAGGCTTGTTAGATAACAGCACCCATCATCTGCAGGCAGCATGTTGTCCTGGGGGCCGATGGGAGTTGTCAGAAGCATTTGGTGAGCCCCTGGTTTGAAAAAAGGCTGGATGCTTTTTTTTCTGAAACATTCCTTCCAGGTCTTGATGCAGCAGATGGAGGCAGTCTGATCCTATGCTGGTATCCATCATTTCCAGCAAAAAAGGGGGGGGGGATCTATCCCAAACAGCTCCCCACTCTGTGAAAGAAGGCTTTTTGTAGTTAGCATTCATCTCGGGGCGGGGGGGAGAGGGAAAGACGCCTCTGCTGCCTGATTCTTCCGCCTCCTCCCATGTGCCATGGGTTGGTTGTTTTCCTCAGAAGCTTTCACTGTGTCCTCACTGTTAAGTCACGAGGCTTTGGGGTGGAAGGGTGTGGGTGTTCTTGTTCTGGGCAACAGATGCTTCAGCTCGCTCTTCCCCTCGCCCCACCACCACCACCATCATCACTGGAACGTGGCAGAAGAGAGTTAAGCTTGTGCGTATGGCAGCGAAGCTGTGCCATTAACGGCAGTCTTCTAGATGCGAGATCTGTTGGTGCCGGTCCTAAAGGCTGTTCCCTGCCCCGGGGGCAAGGGGGTGGTTGTCTTTTGTGTGCAGTTTCCCCACCCCTGGGCTGTCTTCCTCGTGGCACCACCTCCTCTCTTTTGCTGCTGCTCTGTGGTGAGCTCACCGACTGGTTTCCACTCTTGAGGGGCAGCCTGTCAGCCACCGCTGCGAGAGGGTGGCTGAGGCGTCGTCGTGTGTTTTGCTCAGCACCTGTGTATGTGCTTGCACCCACACGTGTCCATGCACGTTTATATCCACAAGCACATCCACAAGCACACACTTTTGGGGATGCAACCGGGGTGGGGGTGGGGGGAAATGATTGGGCACCAGAGGAGGCTGCGGTCTCTTTTCTTTTAATCCCACAGCGAAGGATGCTGGTGGGATCTAACCGCTGTGCTTGCTTGTAGCAGAAGTGGATGAGAGGGGAATGGGCCAGCAAGGGCGAGGGCCCAACAGCACTGCGGCGCTGGCTTTCCTCTTGCCTCTGTCCGGCTGGGACCGTCTCGAGTCACCGTTCTGGGGGAAGAGACTTTCAGAAACCGGCCGGCTAGGATTTTGGGTGAGGAGGGTGAGCGGGGGCTTCGCTTATGCGCCCTGGGGGGGGTCATATGGAGTCTGAGGGCTCTGCTTTGTCCACCCACTGGCCATGGGGAGGAAAGGAGAGAAGGGGCACTCAGCATGTGCCTTTCATGGCCTGGGCGTCGCAGTAAATCAGTGCATTAGAGTAAGCATTGCTCTGCTGTTTCAAAACCTTGAGAGGAGGGGAAGGTTTCTCCTTACTTCTTGGCGAGAAATAAAGGCATAGAAGCCACGATAGACGGTATCCGAGGTGGAACATTTTCTCGCTGTGGATCATACAGTCTGCCAAGAGGGAGCAGCTTCTCATATAGGTCCACGGCATTCACAGAATGAGGAGGTAGCATCCTCATTCCGGGCACCCCTTCCTTGCCCCAACACTGACTTTCCACGAGCTTGTTCTCCTGCCTCTTGCTGGCTGTTCAGGTCCAAGAGGAAAGCCTGCCTCCAGTACGACCAAGTGCAGACCTCTCTGAAGGCAAGACAAGGCCCAGATGTTCGTGGCTCGTGAACGGTCTTTTGGACCTGGAGGAAGAAGGCTAGGTTCCCTCGCTCCTGGTCCATCCCAGTCTTATTTCTGTGACTCCTTTAGGTGCAGTGCTCTTGCTGTTGATTTGGTCCGTGGTGGTGGTGGTGAAGAAACTGGGAATGCTTTTGGTCGCCAGTTCTTCTACTGCTTGAAACGTTGTGTTCACACCCCAGGCACTGTCTCTCTTGGCATGTTCGGTGTCTTTGTTTCTAGTTGACTTGAAGATAAACTGTTTGGGAAATGCTGATTTCCATTTTTTTTTTAAAATTGAAATTCTGAAATCGTGGGTTCCGTTGGGTGACCTTTTGCTCTTCATTTTTTTCTCTTTTCCTTGTTTTGATCTTACAATGTACTGAATTATGTTTTATCAACCAGCTGGCTGGTGTTTGCAGCTTTTTTTTTTTAAGAATCCTCGTTTCGTTGCTGTTTTGTTTTTGCTTTTGGAGGAGTGCAGGGGGTTTTGTTTTTCAAAATTCTCCCTAGCTTTTCAGTGGGTTGGACAGAAGAGCATCTTGAGGAACGTTCTCCTTCTGCAATATTCAAAACCTGAAAAGTCTTCAGGTTTTCTGACCACTGATTCCATCTGAGATGCATTCACTCACAATCGTGCAAAGACATTAGCTCAGTGGACTGATTCCATCTGAGATGCATTCACTCACGAGCGTGCAAAGACGTTAGCTCAGTGGTTCCCAACCTTGATTCACCCAGGTGTTCTTGGACTACAAGTCCCATAACTGATTCCATCTGAGATGCATTCACTCACGAGCGTGCAAAGACGTTAGCTCAGTGGTTCCCAACCTTGATTCACCCAGGTGTTCTTGGACTACAAGTCCCAGAAGCCAGCTGTGCTGGCTAGGTTCTCTGGGCGTTGTGGTCCAAGAACATCTGGGGACCCCAAGGACTGATCTAGAGCAGCGAGGGAGAAAAATGAGGCCGTGGAAGTGAGGCAAACAGCTCCACTTTGCCGCTGTTAACTGTAAGATGATGGAACCCCTGCTCTAGCTTGAGAAAAGGTAGAGAGTGGAGCTGGGCTCTGCTCCTTTCCACGTCCGGTGCCAAACGAGATCAGATCCGGTTCAGCCTGAACCTTTTCCCGTTGGGTGGGTGTCTTTGAAAACCTGCTGTGCAGAACGTGGAAGGGCCCCCGGCAGGATGTTCTTTGGAGGCCGGCACAAGGGAGGCCACCTGGGACTCCGCTGATGCTGCTCACCGTCCAGGTGACTGTGACGAAAACAGAGACACGGATCGGGATCCCTCTGTTTTCCTGGCATTGCAGCGCTGGTGGGCAAGGTCTTTCCGATCTCACTGGGCCTGGGCTCCCCGTCAGCACTCGCCACCATTGCCTGTGGTGGGGAGCACTGGGGGGGTGGTTGCAGTCCGGCAACATCTGGAGGAGGTGCACTTTATCAACCCCTGCCGTACAGAATGAGTCCCTGGCGCCTCTGCCGTCGCCAAAGGGGCCCGGGCACCCGTCCCAAGCCGCTTCGGAGAATTTAATTCCTTCCTGTGATGATGTTGTAGTCCTCGTCCATTGTTGTCGTCCTTTCAACAAAAGTGTGATCGGTTTCTTCTAAAGATGTTTAAGACTCCAAAGGGGGGGAAAACGGTTGGTTTATGATTTGATCACGATCTGAAATGGCTTGGTTTTCATTCCCCTTCCTCCTGATCCTTCTGCCCTTCCCCACCCCGTCCAAGCTACTTAGAAAGCAACATGGATGGCTGTGCCAGCTGGACTGGGCACGTTCTGGGAACCTCTGGAAGGTCCTCACACACACCCTCCCCACACCTGTGCCAGGTACGCATCTTGTTAATGGCACCCATTTGCGCCTCTCCTGGCGAGAGGCGTCCCGCCCCCAGAGGGAGAGCGGATCTCTTCCTCCCTTGATCTCAGGAGCTGCTAAGTAAATCCAGTGTTCCTCTCCTCCACAGGCTGGCTGCCGAAATGTCTGCCCCCCTGCCTTCTAGCCCTGTGGATCAGGGCTTGTCTCTTCATCCGATCCAGTCCCCAAACACTCTGCCTGGCAGCAAGTGGTTGCCGGATTGGTGCCCCCCAAAATTCAGAGGGCCACATTTTGCCGAGTCCCCACCGGCGGGCGGTAGCATCTGGCCCTTCTCCTGTGTCGTCTTTCCCCCTTCTTCCCTCCCCCTCCCAACCCGGAGAAGTTAAAAAAAAAGGAACTTGGAAATCTTTGAGAGGATGGTCGCTTGATTTCTTTTTTTTTGATCTTGCTTCGAGAAATAATGTTTGCTGGTTTTGGTTTCTAAGCCCATATTTTTGCCAGGGTTAGAGAAAAAGAGAGATCACGTTTATTTTCTTGGAAAGTTATTGAAGCTCAGACAGGACAACGCGCTCGATTTATATTCAGATAATTCTATAGCGAAAGATGAGAGAGAGAAAGAGCGTGCGTAGATATTTTTGGAAAGGGAAAAACAGGACTATGCAAACTTGGGGGGAAAAAGATAGTTTTAACGCTTTCTAAACTTTGGAATCGTAAAAGCAGATTAAAATCAAAAGACGTAATTGCCATTAAAAGCAAGTGTGGGAGCGGCGTTAGTTTAGCTGCTCTGTTTTTGATTATTCTTTAAAGGTTTGTGGGGCCGGAGGAGAATGAGTTATGTGTGCATATGCGTGTGTGTTCTTTTTTCACTTCCACAGTTTTTAACTTGCTCCTCTAGCGTTTTCTGTTTTTCTGATGGAATGCCGTGCCGTCTTTTGACTCAACCTGTCCGTGTTTGTATTCTCTGTTACCTGGTTCCTGTTGTAGAGAATCCACAAATACTGAGACGAATTCACTATAATGTCAAACTGCATTACAATTCTGGGGAAAATAAAGGTGTTTTTTTTTTCCTTTTGGTACATCACACCTGGTCTGTCTTGGTTGTTTTATTGTTATTGTGTTTTCTTCTTTGCCTTTCACAATTCACTCAAAGCTCTGAATATACAGCACTGCTGATGTTTTCATTAATGTAAAAAGCCCCTTAGCTTGCAGGGTAACCCAGTGTTTTAGGTCTCTGGCTGAGAGTTCGATTCCCCAACTGGGTCATCTTGGGAGAAGAACCAGCCTGGGTAACTTTGGGCGAGCTGCACAGTCCAAGGACATCCCCCAGAAGATAGCCTTGGGCAAGCTGCACAATCCAAGGAAATCCGCCAGAAGGAGGGAATGAATGGGAAACCACTTCTAGTTCTGCTCTACCTGGAACACCCTGAAAAGGGTCCCGTCCCCCCATATGTCAGCATTGACTTGACAGCCCATTGTTGTCAACCTTCTAGTTCTGCTCTACCTGGAACACCCTGAAAAGGGTCCCCCCATATGTCAGAATTGACTTGACAGCCCATTGTCCTCAACAACCATTGTACAGTGGTGCCTCGCATAGCGACCGCTCCATTTAACGAAGAAATCGCTTTGCAATGCTGTTTTTGCGATCGCAAAAGCGATCACCTTGCGATGTTCCCTATGGGGAAAATTCGCTATGCAATGATCGGAGGGAAGCGATCATCTGAAATCCCCATTCTTCAAATTGGGAGAGGCCGTGATGCACTGCCTGCCTCCAGGCTGAACGATCAGATGTCAGAGTTTCCCATCTGTTGAGGTCTATTCCTAAGGCCTTCAGATCCCGCTTGCAGATATCCTTGTATCGCAGCTGTGGTCTCCCTCTGGGGCGATTTCCCTGCACTAATTCTCCATATAGGAGATCCTTTGGAATCCGACCATCACCCATTCTCACAACGTGCCCAAGCCAGCATAGACGTCGCTGTTTCAGTAATGTATGCATGCTGAAAATTCCAGCTCGTTCTAGGACTACTCTATTTGGAACTACCGTTGTATAACTCATTGTTTCCAACTTTAAATGTTGCCTTTCAAAGTTGCGGGATGCCTCGGATCCTTTTCAAAGAGAAAAACGGGGTAAAAATAATTTCAAATAAATCATCATCATCGCAAAAGGCCCTTGCTGGTGAAACAAAATCGATCAACCTGTTCCCCAAAGTGGCCGGCCAGATATTCCCAAGCTTGTAATAAAAAATGCTTACGTTGAGTCCTGAATGTATGTCCCGTCAAATTCACTCGAGAACCCCAATTTTCTAATCCTACGGGAAGGGGGAAGAATATTCTTTCCCCCAACGCACACGCACACAAAACATTTTCTCAAGACAATCCACGATTTGAAATGCCTATATAGTGTCAGTCTTGCTGGTTAGAATAGAAGAAGCAGGGGAAAGGGAGAAACTTAACAATTATTTTCGGTCTCCTTAGCCTAAATGAAGCTTTGGAGCAGGTAATCCCCCAAATCGAATTAATCTAAAATACTGAATACCAGAGACAGCAGTGGGTTGTTTTGACTCTAGCTCTCAATTGCTAACCACTGGTTAGCCTGTTAGTTGAGGAATCTCCAGCTAGTCACCCCTGCCTTACTGGGAAGACTAAAATATAACATGGAGACTATAATCAAGGAAGGATGTCCTTTCCCAGGGCCCAGAAAATGTCTGAGCTCAGCAGGGGTGAACATCTGTGCAACTGGAAGCCTTTTAAAAAGGAAAAAAAATATTGAAATGATTAAACACAACCCAAGCCAGCAACTTTGCTCCACAGCGACTTTTCATTGTTTGGTCAACAAAAGGAAACAAAAAATTTTGGAGACAGGGAGTTCTCTGGATGAAATGTCCTTGGACGGGGTGCAAAGAAGGCTGGGCATGCCTCTGCAGTTTCCTGATGTGATCGAAAACTCACAAGCAAGTAGAAAAGTAGGTCCTAGATCAAATTAAGGCTATAGATTATCTCTGGAGTCAAGAGATGTTGAAACCCAGGCTGTCCACCTTTGGGCACATCCCGAGAAGGCAGGATTGTCTGGAAAAGACAATAATGCTAGCAAAAGTGGAAGGCAGCAGGAAAAGAGGAAGACCCAATACGAGAGGGGCTAACTCCCTAACCACAGGGTTGAATTTGATCACAGTTGGGCAGGGCTGTTGAGGACAGGCCATTCTGAGGATCGCTCGCTTGGTAAGAGTTGCCATGAAGTCAGAAGCGACCCAATGCAAATTAACAACAAAGTTTGAACATGTTTGGGACACAAATCCTGCAGGGCAAAGGTGAGGAATAGGCCGCTCAGCTGATCTGGCACTGCAACTTCCACGACCCTTTGGTCATGCAGCTGCTGGAGGTGGATGATGGGATCTGCAATCCACTACAATGCACACACCCTTTTCACCTCTTGCTATGCCACGGCTAAGAAAAACAGGCTGGATTTTCACCACAGAGATAAATGGAGGAAGCATTTAATGGCTTCATGCGCGTGTAGGAAATATATACAAAGAAATACAGATACCCACAACCCTACTCCCATCACTCCTATGTTGCAAGAACACAAAGAATTGTTTAAAAAATTCAAAATGCTTTCCAAGTTCCTCCCAGCAACAAGGAGGAGGCAAACGCCTCTAGGAAGCCGGAAGTTGTGGTCTTTTGCATCACTGTATCTCTTGAGGCTTCCTCGGAGCACCATTGAGTTCGGAGGAGCTAGAGCGGCTCCCGCGTGTCCATAGAGAGAATACCCCGTCAAACACTAGTAGAGGAGACCGCTCGCTTATTGGAGAAGTCACTTCCTAGTTCAAATCAAGAAACCGTTTTTTAAAATTCCCCCTTTCACCGAGGCGGAGATCAATGGAGACGGGGAAAAGTTACTTATTATTTTTTTTAGCACCACAGCTGCGGAAGCGTCCGATCCCAAAATAACCAACGTTGCCCCTCTCGTCCCTTTTGATGCCTATGAGGAGCCCCTCCGCCTTTGAATTTAAATAAAAGCTGGTGCAATAAAAGGAGGCATCCAATAAGGCATGCAAAACGCACCCAGTGGGCTCGATCCTTGCTCGCTGGTTGCCGCCCGGGAAGTGTGCGGGCGTGTGTATGCATGCATGGTTGCATGGTCTCTAGTTGCTCCTCTTTCTGCCCTGCCTGGATCTATGAGTCCGGAAGTGGATCCCGTTTTTGCAAAATTGCAAAATCCTCGCCATGGTGAGTTTCATGGCTGGGGGGGGGGAAGAGAGAAGAAAGAGGACTTTTTGCTTTTTCCCTGCTTTAATTGGGGTGCAAAAGGGGGGGTGCAAAAGGAAGCTGGGGTGCAAAAGGGCTGGATGGGTGGCCGGCTAAAATACCAGCTCAATCTGAGCCCCCCCCTTGAATTGAAGGCGCCTTTCATCAACCAGCCCCATAAGTGCGTCCTTTCCCGTCCCGTCCCCCCCCCATTGATTCCAGGGGTCTGCTGCCATTGGGACCCCCTGCCGCTTTGGGCCCCCCCAAAGCATCTCCTGCCCAAGAAGCTGGCGGACTACAACTCCCATTTTCCCCCACTACGGGGGTTGGGGCTGATGGGGTTTGTAGTCTCCAGAGTGCCGTGGGGGCCTGGTTGTGATTTTGATGTCTCAAAAAAAAATCCACTTTTTTCCCCTTCTTTTTCTTTCCAGGCCACCTCTGCAGACCAGCTGGTGGGCTACGGCTTGGTCGCCTTCAGCCTCACCCTCTTTATTTACTACACCATCTGGATCATCGTGCTGGTATTTTGCTTTCTTTTATCGCATGTATTCGTCCCCTTGTTTTTTTAGGGACCCCCCCCTCAAGGCAATATTGGTGTGTGTGTCCCTCCCCCCTTCAATCATGTCCCAGTTCAGTAGAATTAGGAAGCCCACCATGATTGAGTTGCGGGTGTGTGTGTGTGTGGAAAACAGCAGATTTTTGTGATGGTAAGGAATTGCCCTCTTTTCCACATTCTGCCGTTATTTAACCTCATGCAAAGGGGGGGGGGAGGGAAACGGACCCACAAACAAGAGCCTCCACTGGCCCAGATCCATCTGGGAAAAGTGCAGACCTTAAGATCACAACGGACGCCTCGTTGCAATAGGGCAAGAGCCGCTTCTCGGAATACCGGTGCAGAAATTATTTGCTTTTATATCGATGGTTTGCATCCGTGCGAGAATTGACGGTTTGCCTGCAAAACTTCCCCCCCCATTCTCTCCCAATGCTTTACATTTAATTTCCCCAGCCCTTCATCGAGAGCGACCACGTGATCCACACGTATTTCCTGCCGCGAGAGTACTCCGTGATCATCCCGGTGGTTGCCGGCTTGCTGCTGCTGCTCTTTGTTGGTGAGTCTGACCGGCGTGTCTCTGCGTGCGTTTGCCCGGATCAGAAGCTTTGAATTAGAGAGGGGGACGACACCACCCCACAGTTCCTTTTGAGCAGGAAGGCTAAGCTGTGCTCACAGGATCTCTCCCCCTTAACTTACCCACCCGTGTTTGCCCGTGGGTCGGCTCAGCCGTGGCCAAACGGCTTTCCAGAACCCTTCTCTTGCTCTGATTCAACCTGTCACGGGCCCTCGCGAGAAGACACGCTAGAAGCCGACCTTCGGAGGCTGCTTCTCATTGCAAAATCACAGACAGTCATAAACGTACAGAACAGCCCCCCGTGATTTCGCCACCACAATCCCAACCTTTCCACCAGATCTTAGTTCCACGATTCATTCGGTTAGACAGATAGCATCTGTAGAAAATCCCTTTACATTCCAACCTCCTCCTTCCGAGATTGATTCTTTTAATCCCCGTGTTTTTATAACAACCCGGGGGAAATCTTAAACTCAGAACGGCTGAGGTGGAAGGGGACCCTAAAGATCATTAAGTCCAACCCCCCCCTCTCTCTCTCACACACACACACACACACCAGCCCTTCCTCCATTATCCTGCTGGACTATATGTGTTGTGCTTCAAGGTGATACATCAGTGTGCTTACCTAGATTTCTGTCCTCTGCATTTATAAGGGACTTTCATAGCCATCATCACGTGGAAGAACCGGAAGTCTGCGAAGAAATCAGCCTGAAGGTGCCCAGGTGGGCCACGCAGCACTCAAGGGGAACATTGCAGTGGCAGTGGGTTCCGCCGGATAACCAGGTGCCAGCAGATGCGGGAAGGGACTGTAGAATGGAAGCACCCCACGTCATCAGCCTGGCCCGGCTGCAGCCATCGTTTCCTGCATGTTATGGACCAAAGGGATCGGAAATAGCATCTTTTTGAGAAACTCCAAATATAGTCTCCTGTACAGTATTTGTCCTTCTGGATACGGTGAACAAGCTAATTTCATACGTGATGCCTCCTTGGCTGTTTGTCTCTCTAAACTCCCCACGTCATCAGCCTGGCCCGGCTGCAGTCATCGTTTCCTGCACGTTATGGACCAAAGGGATCGGAAATATCATCTTTTTGAGAAACTCCAAAATATAGTCTCCTGTACTTGTCCTTCTGGATATGTTTAACAAGCTAATTTCATACGTGATGCCTCCCTGGCTGTTTGTCTCTCTAAACGTCCCTAGAGTCTCAATGACAGAGATTTGGGAGCCTTCCAGTGTTTTGGACTACACCATCCATTATCCCCTGGATGCTAACCATACCGGCTGGGGCTTCTGCAAGCTGGAAGCCCAGAGCATCTGGGAGGCCTGAAGGTTAAGAAACCCCCACCTAGATCGGAGGCTTGAAGTAGCTTTGGCCTTCCAGGAATTTTGAACTACAGGGCCCATGTTCCTTTCCCATTGGCCAGGCCGGCTGCGGCTTCTGGGAGCTGGAGTCAAACACAACCGGAAGGGATTCTCGTCACCCCCTAAATCTGGTTTCTGTAGCAGCTGTATCAAAAGGCCCTCACTTTGTGGGTGTAGGTTTTTAGGTTGTGTCACTTCTCTTCCCTCCTGGCAGTTGCCTGGATCCCTCCCATGTGCTGCTCTCCTTCTCGTTTTTTGTAATGCTTTTATTTTATTTTGAGATGGGCCCAATCCTGACACTCTGTGTTTGTTGGAGGGCAGTTGTCTGCCCTGCTCTGTACCCCCAACCCCACCTCCCGTGGCAGATCAGGCTGGTGATGCAACGCAGGCTGGATTCTGTACAAATAAAAGTTTTGCAGAAAATGTCTGGCTTCGTTCTTCCTCTTCCTGTGGTTGTATTTTAAGAGTGCATCCAAAAGAGAGTTGGTCATCGGGAACATAAGCTGCCTGGTCCTGAGTCCCACTCTGGATCTGTCCCACCTTCCCACCTTTTTCATCTGTGGTCTGACCCTGCTTAGCATCCCAAATCCGGCAAGATCTGGAGTGTTCAGGATGGGATTGTGGTGGGCGCTGCTTGAGTGCTGTGTGAGTTTGAGCACTGCAGATGTTTTGGATTACAACTCCCAGAATCCCCAGCCTGTATCACCAGTAATAAAGGACTCTGGGGGGTTGTAGTCCAAAACATCTAGGCAATGTTCTCCAACCTTGGGCCTCCTTATCACCAGTAATAAAGGACTCTGGGGGGGTTGTAGTCCAAAACATCTAGAGTACCAAAACTTCACCACCTTTGCCCTAGAGAAACTCCCGAGCCGCCTTCGGCTTTTTGGTGAAGGATTCTGGGAGGTGTAGTCCAAGAACATCTGGAGGCCCAAGGTTGGGGACCACTAATCTAGAGTACCAAAACTTCGCCACTCTTGCCCTAGAGAAACTCCCGAGCCGCATTCGGCTTTTTACGTACTTTAAACAAGCAAGTTTCCGGTCCTTTTGAAGGAGGCAGGGGCAAAATTCTGCTGAATGGCTTCCGTTTTAAAAGTTTGTTGCTATGAATTTCCACTTTTTTTTTCCAAAAGAGAGGAGAGACAGGTTTCCTCCAGCAGCCTACCAATGCTTGGCTATGGTGATCGGAACCTGCAGGCTCACTCTCTTAAAGGGTACGACACCAAAGGAAAAGGAACTGGGAGGGCAGAGGAAGAAGAAAGGTCTAAGCTTGCATATTTGATGGTCAGTTATAAATCACACCATGTCATGAGTTGGGAACGTCATAGAGCCGGATCTAATTAAACATAAAGGCTTCTCCTCCCCTCTGAGGGTGTTGGTAACAGCATTTGGGGGAGAGAAAAAATGGGTTTCTTTCTGGATCTCCCTCCAGGTATGACAGAAAAAGTCTGCTTCTTTCTGATGGTGTCGGCAGATCTGGGTTGTGGTGATCCAGAAAACAGTTAACAACAAAAAGGCTTCAAAACAGAGCAATAGAAAAATAAGGAAATGTCCATATCCTAGGACAGAGTTTGGCAAACTTCAGCAAGGACCCACAAGGCCATCATAAGGGAGCGGTCCTTATGATGGCCAACTCTGAATACTGTCTCTCCTCTTCCCCCCCCCCGGGTTTGTCCAGGGATGCCAGCTGGACATTTAATGGCAGGGCTTTCTGAAAGAGGGATTGCCATCTTCCAAGTGCTTCTGCTTTCAGTCCAAGGCAGGAGCTGGGGGCTTTCCACGCCTTTACAATCCCAGGCCATAAAAGTACCCTGTCCAAGAAAAACGTGGCAAAAATGACTATCCTAAGAAAAGCCACAAATACATATCGCCTGGAAGATTTTGGGGGAGGGGGGGCTCTGCTCTTGTTTCTTTGCCCGCTCATCTGCGTGCCCTCTTCCTAAGATCATGAAGTTGTTCATTTAAAAAAAAAACACTATAGGTCCCAAAATCCCCACCCCAGCTGCTTTCAGGATAATGGACGTCGTAGTCCAAGAGACGTATTTTCTTTCCCCGGTCTCTGATCCGATTTCTTTGCGCTCTCCGCCCCCCTGCCAGCCCTGACTCAACGGATTCTTCCCTGGGCATTGCAGCAAGCCAGAAAATGAAGCTGAGCAAGGGGTACACAAGGCAGCGATGCTGTGGTTTGGAAACTTTTCCAGTTTTATGGGCGTTAATTTTATTTCATTGATCTCCGGATCCAGCGAGCAAGGCCAGATCTTGCTGAGGGGCAGCTTCATCACCATCCATCCTCCCCTGCTTGCTGGTTAAACCATGGCTCCCCCCCCCCCCCATCAGCTGTTAAATAATATCCAGCCTTAGTAATGCACCTGACTTTGCTT